CTGAGCCACCCAGGCGCCCCAGTTATTCATTTTTTTAAAAGGTTTTGTGTATTTATTTGACACACACACACCCACAGAGGGCACAAGCAAGGGGAGTGGCACAGGGAGTGGGAGTAGCAGGCATCCAGCTGAGCAAGGAGCCCAATGCGGGAGTCTATCCCAGGACATTGGATCATGACCTGAGCCAAAGGCAGATGCCTAAGTGAGCCACCCAGGTGCCCCTAAAGTATAGGTGATTTGATGAGTTTTGGCATATACATACACCTGCGAAACCATCTCTACAATCGAGATAGTGAACGTATGCATCTCCCCCAATAGTTTCCTTATCCTCCTTTGGAATTCCTCCCCCCCAGCCTTTGCTCCTACTGTCCCATCCCCATGAAACCACTGTCGGCTCTTTGTTTGTATTTCCTAGAATTTTATATAAATGGGATCATACTGTATATATTCTTTCTCATCTGGCTTCATTCCCTCAGCATAATTATTTTTAGATTTATCCTTGTTGTTGCTGTGATGTGCTAATTCCATAGCCCTATCTAGCAAGTCTCAAGTTTCCAATTTTACACTCTCATTCCTTTGGCTAAAGGCTCTGATAACATTTATAACACACACACACCCTTGGGCTATGTAAAATTTAGACATTATCAACCATCCAGGTGAAGATCATGTCAGAACTTTGTTTTTGGAGAAGTGGTTTTGTTAGAAGTGTGATAGGGGTAAGGTGAAAAGAACACGACTTCTAGGCATATGAGAAGTGTCCCTGAGGGAAACCAGTAAAACAGGGAAGGGAGGCTGACTCCTGAAAACAAACGTTTCCTTCCAGCCTCCCAATGTTGTATGTATTTGCGAAGCACTGCAAAGTGCAATAGAATAAGGTGTGCCCAGAGGCACCTGGGTGGCTCAGTCGGTTAGGTGTCTGCTTTCAGCTCCAGTCATGATCTCAGCGTCCTGGGATCAAGCCCGGCGACCAGCTCCCTGCTCAGTGGGGAATCTGCTTTCGCCCTCTCTCTGCCCTTCCCCCTACTCGTGCGCTCTCTCTCTCTCACAAATAAATAAATAAGATCTTTAAAAAACAAACAAACAGGGGCCCCCGGGTGGCTCAGTGGTTAAGCTTCTGCGTTAGGCTCAGGTCATGATCCCAGTATCCTGGGATCGAGCCCCCACATCAGGCTTCCTGCTCAGCGGGAAGTCTGCTTCTCCTTCTCCAACTCCCCGCTGCTTGTGTTCCCTCTCTCGCTGTCTTTCTCTCTCTGTCAAATAAATAATTAAGTAAAATCTTTAAAAACAATCAAACAAATAAAAAAACAAGGTGTGCCTGTAGAGGGCTGGCCCTGTGGCTTTCCTCAGCTTACTTTAACTTGCCTGTCACAAAATTTTTCCATAGGCACTCGCCTTCATTTGGTGAATAACTTGCCCAGCCTCGCCACTTCCCCTAGCTTTATAATGCATCTTTTGTATGAATATATATCACTAAATACACTTGCTGACTCATGCATGCATTTCATGTAAGGTCTCTTTTGAAAGCATAGATTTAACTTCTCTAGACTATAACATAGGGATGTTTCTTTACTTTCTAAATTAGGTACTTTAGTTAGAATGTTAAGATCTCCATTTTGTAGAACCATAACTATCTTGAAAAACTGTTGCATAACTATTTTCAAGAGCTCTGACTAATCCTGAAGAGGTTTCCAACCATTATGAGAGGGGAGAAGCTGATCACTGCTATAAACATGAATTCATGCATCCTAATGGCTGCTTTACCCCTGAGAGGCCAGTTGCAAAACATGTAAGGCAACTCGTGAGCCCCACAGGTATATGGGGGTGAGGGTCGGTAACAAATGCCATAAAAGAGCAACAACAACAAACCCCGATGAGAGTATTAGGAACAGTCATTTTAATTTAATTATATTTTTAAGGATTTTATTTATTTGAGAGCATGCGTGTGCACACACCTGCACACATGCACACGTGCACAAGTGAGAGAGAGAGAGAGTGAGCACAAGTAGGGTGAAGGTCAGAGGGGGAAGCTGACTCCCTGCTGAGCAGGGAGCGAGATGTGGGACTCGATCCTGGGACTCTGGGATCCTACTCTGAGCCAAAGGCAGATGCTTAATGACCGAGACTCCCAGGTGCCCCCGGTCATTTTTATTTTAAAGCACTTAAACCCTTGATCTCAGCCAAGTCTCTGTTGACATTTGGGGCCGGATATTTCCTTGTTGTGGGGCCTTGTCCTGTGCTTTGTAGGATGCTAGTAGCGTCCCCGACCTCTAGCCACCAGAGGCCAGGAGCACCTCCCCTGGTTGTGAACAATCAAAACTGTCTCTAGATATTGCCGAATGGCACCTGGGGGACAAAATCATCCCCTTGCTGTCCACTGAGAACCACTGCCCTAGAGTAAGAGGTTCTAAAAACTTAAATTGGAAAATAAAAAAGATAGCTTTACTAAGAGGTAATGCACATACCACACAATTCACCTTTGAAAAGTGGTTTTTAAATGTATTTACAAGGTCAGGCAACTGTTACTGCAATCTAATTTTAGACCAATTTTGTCCGCCCTGAAAGAAACTTCATGCCTATTAGAAGTTAGCCCTTATTCCCCACCACCCCAGGCAACCACTAATCTACTTTCTGTCTCTATGGACTTGCCTCTTCTGAACATTTCATATAAATGGGATCAGACAAGTTGTGATTTTTGTGACTGGTTTCTCTCATAATGCTTTCAAGGTTCACCCACTTTTTAGCATGTATCAGTACTCCGTTCTTTTTTAAGGCTGAATAATATTCCATTGCATAGATAAACCACATTTGGTTTATCCATTCATCAGTTATTGGCCATTTGGTGTGCACCTACCTTTGGGCTATTTTTTTTTTTTTTACTATTTTGGATTTTATTTATATTCAAGTTAGTTAACATATAGTGTGTTATTAGTTTCAGGGGTAGAATTTAGTGATTCATCACTTGCATAGAACATCCAGCACTCATTACAACAAGTGCCCATCACCCATTTACCCATGCCCCCCACCGACCTCCCCTCCAGCAACCCAGTTTGTTCCCTAGAGTTAAGGGTCTCTTATGATTTGCCTCTGTCTTGGTTTTTATCTTATTTTATTTCTTCCTTCCCTTCCCTTGTGTTCATCACTTTTGTTTCTTAAATTCCACATATGAATGAAATCATATGATATTTGTCTTTCTCTAACATATTTTGTTTAACATAATACACTCTAGTTTTCATCTACATCACACAAATGGCAAGATTTCATTCTTTTGATGGCTGAGTAATATTCCATTGTATGTGTGTTTGTGTATTTATTTATTTTTAAGATTTTATTTATTTATTTGACAGAGAGAGAGAGATCACAAGTAGGCAGAGAGGCCACAAGCAGGCAGAGAGGCAGGCAGAGAGAGAGGGGGAAGCAGGCTCCCCGCCGAGCAGAGAGCCCCATGTGGGGCCCGATCCCAGGACCCTGAGATCATGACCCAAGCCGAAGGCAGAGGCTTTAACCCACTGAGCCACCCAGGCGCCCCATGTGTGTATTTATATGTATATATATTCCATATACCACCTCTATACATATATACCATATATGTAATGGAATATAATATACACACATACACACCCCCCCACCCCCCCACATACCACATCTTCTTTATCCATTCATCAGTCAGTGGACATCTGGGCTCCTTCTATAGTTTGGCTATTGTGGACATTGCTGCTATAAACATTGGGGTGCATGTGCCCCTTCAGATCACTCTGTTTGTATCCTTTGGATAAATACCTAGTAGTGTAATTGCTGACTTTTAGGGTAACTCTATTTTTAACTTTAAAAAAAATTTTTTTTGAAAGATTTTATTTATTTGACAGACAGAGATCACAAGCAGGCAGAGAGGCAGTCAGAGAGAGAGGGGGAAGCAGGCTCCCCGCCAAGCAGAGAGCCCTATGCGGGGCTCGATCCCAGGACTCCAGGATCATGACCTGAGCCGAAGGCAGAGGCTTCAACCCACTGAGCCACCCAGGCGCCCCTATTTTTAACTTTTTGAGGAACCTCCATACTGTTTTCCAGAGTGGCTGCACCAGCTTGCATTCCCACCAACAGTGGAAGAGGGCTCCCCTTTGTCCGCATCCTGGCCAACATCTGTTGCTTCCTGACTGGTTAATTTTAGCCATTCTGACTGCTCTGAGGTGGCATAGCATTGTGGTTTTGATTTGTATTTCTCTCATGATGAGTGATATGGAACATTTTTTCATGTGTCTGTTGGCTATCTGGATGTCTTCTTTGGAAAAGTGTCTCCACAGAACATTGGTGTGGGGAGAGAGGAGGTGCGGGGCAGGGTTCCTGGGGACACAGCCTGCATTTCTGTGCCTCAGAGATTTCCAAGACCTTTCAACAAATTTTAAAAAATGAATAATTATTAGCTAATCTTACAACTTTAATCAAAAAGGAGGAAAGCAGTCTCTTCCTTTGTGCTGCCTGTGGAGATGGCAGCCGTCTCCTACTTGGTATCATGGCCGCCCTCAGAACCCTTGTGAAGCCCAAGATCATTAAAAAGAGGACCAAGCATGATCTCAGGGTCCTGGGATAGAGCCCTGCATTGGGCTCTCTGCTCAATGGGGAGCCTGCTTCCCCCCCACCTCTGCCTCCCTCTCTACCTACTTGTGATCTCTCTCTCTCTCTCTCTCTCTCTCTGTCAAGTAAATATATAAATAAAATCTATTTTAAAAAGATTTTATTTTTAAGTAATCTCTACACTCAACATAGGGCTCAAACTTACAACAACAACAACAACAAAAAGAGGACCAAAGAGTTCATCCGGCACCTGTCAGACTGATCAAAATTAAGGTCAAAATTAAGCACAACTGGTGGAAACCCAGAGGCATTGACAATAGGGTGCACAGAAGAATCAAGGGCCTGACCTTGATGCCCAACATCAGTTACAGAAGCAACAAGAAAGCAGAGCACACACTGCCCAGTGGCTTCCGGAAGTTCCTAATCTATCTCAGGTGCTGCTGATGTGCAGCAAATCTTACTGCGCCCACGCTGCTCACAACGTCTCCTCCAAGAACCGCCAAGCCACTGTAGAAAGAGCAGCCCAGCTGTCCATCAGCGTCACCAATCCCAATGCCACGCTGCGCAGTGAAGAAATGAATAGACAGCTCATGTGCATGTCATATTTGTGTTAATAAAACCATAAAGCTACCAAAAAAATGGAGAAAAGCACGAAACAGTTTGGCAATTGCTATCTGCTTATTTGTGTCTAGGGCACCTCCATGTTTTGTCTCCCAAATTAAAACCCTATTCTTTATCTCTTCCAGGCCCCATGTTTTGACTTGCATGCAATGCGTTTCTAGTTTGCTATTTCCTGTCCAGTTCCAGTTCCACCATCTGGATCTCTACTTTTACCTCCTCATTCCATGATAATCACAGGTCCCTTAATTGGTTCCTCTGCAGCCTCTTTCTAGTTTCTCCTTCTCTTGCCTATCTAGTCTGTCCCAGCCTGGCTAAACTTTAAAACAGCATTGCTGTGATTTGATCTCCACCTTTTGGTCAACCACAGGAATTCAAGTTAATTCAGTTCAATTCAATTCAGTTCAATTCAATTCAGTTCAATTCATTCATTCATTCATTTATCAGATATCTTTGAGGCCCAGAATTTACCGTGCTGGGAATGCTGGAGGAGTTCCAGATATGCATTAGAGTCCCTGTCTTTCATTAGGACAGATAAGACAGTTAACAAAATACATCTGAGGTGGGGTGCCTGGGTGGCTCAGTGGGTTAAGCCTCTGCCTTCAGCTCAGGTCATGATCTCAGGGTCCTGGGATCGAGCCCTGCATCGGGCTCTCTGCTCGGCAATGAGCCTGCTTCCCCCTCTCTCTGCCTGCCTCTCTGTCTACTTGTGATCTCTCTCTGTCAAATAAATAAATAAAATCTTAAAAAGAAAGTATCAGGGACTCTTGCTCTTTGGTTCTGCTCCAACCCCTTAAAAAAAATACATCTGAGGTACTATGTGGTAAGAGCCGTTGGAATGGTACAAGCACAAAGATAGAGATCTTTGCTGGTGGGTGAGATTGTGGATGTCTTTCTGAATGGGATGCACTGAAGAATCGGTACGAATTCTTTGCATGGAGATGGTGGTAGCAGGACATCTGGGGGAAAGGAGGGCATAAGCAAGGGTATGGAAATAGGAAAGCACAGATGATATAAGAGTCAAATAATTGAAGTAGATGAGTAATGAAAGATCAAGTAGTGCAGTCATGTAGACCAGAGAGAGTGGAAGGCTTTGAAAGCCAGGCCAAAGGGTTTGAAGTGTATGTGGTAGACATTGGAAAACAAGTGATCTGGGGTTTGTCTGTCATTACAGCATTCCTGGCTTATTGTCAGGAGATGCTGTGATGCAGTTGAGAAGGTTCTAAGGAGAGGCTTTGGGAAATCCATGAGCTTCTGTCATGAACTCCCTTCATGATTTCTTCTGGTTGCTTTATCTCTTTAGACCGGGTTTTCCTTGTCAATAAATCCAAGTAGGTGGAACAAAATGATCTTCCCAGCATCTCTGCTCCTGACTGTAAGCATGGACCCAGAAGCCCTGATGCTATTTGAAGAATTAGGGATGTTGGGCTAAGGGCTGTGAAAAAATGGCAAGGCTCATTTGTGGGATTTCCATGGAGGAATGAGTCATACTTGGAAACACTGGAAAATAAGAAAATATTTGTTTACAGTCAACCCAACTTTCCTCCTGCACATATTTTTTCCTTTAGTGACTTCCTTCCCAACTTTAATATAGAAGCTTATAAAATTCTTCAGAGATGAAGCACATGTGCTTTGCTTCATCTTCGTATCCCTAGTGCATAGCACATTGCCTGGCTCATAGCCTCTCAGTAAGACTCTGCTATATGAATAATTTCTTCCAATTTTCATCAAAGCCTGCTTTCAGGAAGGAAAAATGTAAGCAAATTCATACTAAAGTATAAATGGCTGATAACCATTTAAATTATGACACCCATACTAATAGAAAAATTTCTTAAAAGGAATGGAATAGCCCTTTGCTAAAAACAAAATCCAGCTTTAAGAGTGGCATACATAGGGGCGCCTGAGTGGCTCAGTTGGTTAAGCAACTGCCTTCGGTTCAGGTCATGATCCTGGAGTCCTGGGATTGAGTCCCACATCGGACTCCCTGCTTGGCGGGGAGTCTGTTTCTCCCGCTGATCTCTCTCTCCTCTCATGCTCTCTCTCAAATAAATAAATTAAATCATTAAAAAAAAATTAAAAAAAAAAGAGTGGCATACATAGACCTGAGGGAGGTTTCAGGATGGTAACATGACGTTCCTAGCTGGGTTCCCAGTCACTAGTACCCTTTTTTTTTTCCCCAAAAGAGGCCCCTCAGTTTCCACCTAGAAGCTAAATCTTGCCTCATTCTCTACAAATGCTATCTGTTCTCAGCGGAAATTTTGGGAGTTCTCCTTGCTTCTTTTCTTTTTTTAAGATTTTATTTATTTATTTGACAGAGTGAGAGAGAGCACAAGCAGGGGGAGCAGCAGGCAGAGGGAGAGGGAGAAGCAGACTCCCTGCTGAGCAGGAGCCCAACCTGGGGCAAGGTCCCAGGATCCCGGGATCATGACCTGAGCCGAAGGCAGACACCCAACCGACTGAGCCACCCAGGCGCCTCTCTGCTTGCTTCTAAATTGATTTTTGGGTCTTTTTAGCCCATTTCACAGAACTGGGCTTCTGTTCTGTTTCTTTAGCCTGAGTATCTGTCATGATGGTATATCCCTTCCCCTGGATTAATTCAGATTAGAGCTCTGTACTTATTTCTTTCCAGTATGTCCTAATACCTTTCCCCAACTGACTACCATGGAATCAAGTTTTGGTTACCATAGCGAGTCCAGTACCCATTGTCTTGCCCCCTGTTGTAAGATGCCCCCAATTCTGACTGACAACCTGCTTAGACTTCCAAGAGTCACGTCCATATGTAGCCTGCTCCTTGAACTCTGCAACTATACCCTGAGAGCTAGGTAGAATGCTTGGCACTTCAAATTGGAGCTTTCTCTGCCACCTCACCCAACTCACCTAACTACTGACCTGGACTGCCTTCTGCCATTTGCTGCCACAACTCCTCGGCATTATATTCGCCTGGTCTGCACATCTGAAGGTGAGGCAGCTCCACTGTGAGAAGGGTTTAGTGAGTCTACTTCTAGGCTCTGGCATGTCTTTTTTTTTTTTAGGATTTTATTTATTTATTTGACAGAGGGAGAGGCAGCGAGAGAGGGAACAAAAGCAGGGGGAGTGGGAGAGGGAGAAGCAGCAGGGAGCCTCATGTGGGACTCGATCCCAGGACCCCGGGACCATGACCCGAGCTAAAGGCTGACGCTTAATCACTGAGCCACCCAGGCACCCCTCGGCTCTGGCTTGTCTTAATTGAACTTATGTTGCCATGCTCTGGAAGATGGCAAACAAGGGCCCATTTATATGAAGCTCCTGATGTCAGACCCTGGAGATAATAGCTTATCCTGCCAGATTATAAAGAAAGCCACATGGCTAACATCTTCCTGTGGGAGTCACCTAGGCAACTGAGGCTGCCTTGTTGTCACAAGATAATAATCTGACATATGGATATTTTTCTCTAGTTAGACACCTTTTACTTGATTCAGATCTCTTTTATATTTCTCTAAAATTCTCTTCCTTGACACCCGGGAAGGTTGACTTAACTTCTGACTCTGATCTTCCATCTGCTTCCTTGTGTTATGCACTTATTGCATTCAACTTAAGCAGAAATGAATTTCATTAGCAAAGGGGCCCATTATCTGCACCCATTATCTGCAATCTATCTGTAGGTAGATTTCTTTGTGGTATAATTTCAGGCATTCACAGAAAATTTCTACACTCAAACATTACATGGATGCTAACTGCACCATCATTAATTCCATCTAAGCTCTTTAATGGATGTGGCTCAATTTCTAGCCCATGTTTTCAGAGACTCAGAGTGACTTGATAGAAGGAAACAGAAACAAGGCAAAAACTGTAGTTAGTAATTATTATGACTGCTGGCCTTTTGGATCCTCCCTATCATACACCGATGTTTTTAGAGGAATTTATTAACTTGCACAATTGGGAAATGCAGTGTTCTATGCTTTGAGACACAGCTGGATCTAGGGGCTCAAATTGCATTATCAGGGCTCCTCAAGTTTTCTTCCTCGGTAGGCAAGAAAGGTCCCAAGGGGAACTCTGATTGGCTGACTTGTGTAATGTGATCTCCCTTTATCCAAATATTGTGCCTAAGAGGGAGGCTGATGCCGACTGGCCATCTTAGGTCCCAGGAAGCCCAGCCTAATGGTCAGAAGGGGCAGACTTTTGGGGAGGGGCAATAGATTTCTTAAATTTTTTTTTTTATTTTGAAATAAGTATAGACTTGCAGGAAATTACAAAAATAGGATAACCTCAGCCTCATCCAGCTTCTCCCAATGGTGACATCTTACCTAGCTACAGTATACTATCAAAACTGGGAAACTGACATTGGTATATTACTGTTAGTTACAGTATAGACCTCATTCAGTTTTTATCATTAAAAAACCCTGCATTTGTGTGTATGTGTGTGTGTGTGTGTGTAGTTTTATGCCACTATCACAGTCAAGATCCAGAACTGGTCCATCACCAGTGAAGAACGCCTTCATGTTACCTCTTTGTATTCACTCTATCACCACCCCTTCTCCAAACCGGCTGTACCATCCTACATTCACACCAGCAATGTATGGAGATCCAGTTTCTCTGTGTCCTCACCCGCATTTGGTATTTAGCACTATTTTGTTATTTCAACTGTCCTAACAGGTGCCTGGTGATAGCACATGTTGGTCTTAATTTACATTTCTCTAATGGCCAGTGATGTTGAACATTTTTCCAGAGACTTGCTTACCATCTATATTTCATTTTTGGTGAAATGTGTGTTTATGTCTTTTGCCATTCCTAGGTGGATTGTTTCCTTTTTATTGTTGTGCTCTAAGAGGTTTTTATATATACTAGATAGAAGGCCTTGGTCGGATATGGGGCCGGCAAATATTTTCTCCCAGTCTGTAACAAGTCTTTTCATCTTTTTTTTTAAAAGATTTTATTTATTTACTCATCACAGAGAGAGAGAGAGAGAGCGCACAGGCAGACAGAGTAGCAGGCAGAGGCAGAGGGAGAAGCAGGAGCC